TCCTCGAGCGGATGGTTCCAGAGCCAAGGATCCCAGAGCCTTGGGTTTCTCTGCTTTTTATTTACTTTTTAAATGTGTATATTCTGCACATGTTTGCTTCAATCATGACCGACTACAATGGGTGCACTCAACGACGTCTTATTTGAGCCCTTTTGGCTTTAACAACAGACTGTTTGTTCTCCGGAGCTTGGTAGCCATGTATTTACAAGATTCTCGGACGACAACAAAAACAACTTTCCATGTCTGTTATAATAATGACGCAGGATGGAAGAAAAACATTAGTCACAGAAAGAATAGCTGATTAGCCTTGAGCGAAGTGAACTATTGTGTGAGGGTTGAAATAATAGAGTTATACATCTGATCATACTGGAGTGAAAAACATGTTTTAGTTTATAAATAATGGTATTGTGTTGATTTCTATAGTATATGTATAGCTCCAGAAGACCAGCTAATTGGGGTATATGTGGATTTTTTTTTTCAAATATATTTAGAAAAATAACTGTTTTTTTCTTTATGTATGAGTGGTCAAACTGGATAATAACACAGTGAATCCCAGAACGGACCAGAAAGAACCTATAAGCAAAGTGAACTAAACATGGGGAGGCTGCTTTTCATTTTCATGCTGCTAAAATCTGGAACAGTCTTCCGGAAGATGTGAGACAGGCCTCCTCTCTGACAATGTTTAAACGCAGGTTAAAGACAGTTCTGTTTAGCTGTGCATACAACTTTATATTTTGAGCTTTCTTTTTAATGTTCTGTGATTATTTAGGATTTTAATGCTTTCTTATTTTGTTCAGCACTTTGAATTGCCTTGTGTATGAATTGTGCTATATAAATAAACTTGCCTTGCCTTGCCTGTAAGGGTTGAAATAATAGGGTGAATATGGTCTATGGTCAATAAATAATGATAGTGTTGTTTTCCATAGCGTATCCATAGCCCATCTCAGCCAGCTAGTTTGATACTTCATTGCTGTATAAAACTTGCATCCGTTTCCTAATAATTCTCCTGACAGTTGCAGATTATAGAAAATGTGCAAGTAGGTTGGTGTAGATCATTAATTTATTACATGGTGATTATGCAGCCGGCTCAGAGCTCTCCTCATACCTCCCCTTTGTGTTCGTGCTGATTAGTCCAAGAGAAAGTATGTGTCCTTTGTGATCTTAAAGGTCAGTGGTTGTGCAAAAGGAAACTATTTCTGTCACAAATATCACAGCGGCAAAGACAGAGGCTGCTCCCCCGAGAGAGGGGCTTCCAAAACCCAATTACGCTGTCCTTCCAAACCATCAGTCAGCCTCTGTGCCTCTGCAGCCGCTGAGCCGACCGGCCGCTGTCCCCTGCTTTCAGTGGACAAGCGATGCCGTTGTCGTGCTGGTGTGATTCAGTCTGAAATAAAGTGTGTTTGCCGTAGTAAAGACGTGGATAAACAGCCTCTCAAAGCTCCATAGTTGACAAATGTGGGGAAAGAAATATTAATCACTCAATTTTGTGCTCACAAATTGTGAAAAGAAATACATCTGTGAATATATATTGAAATTTTAAATATTCTAACACAAAAGATAAGATAAGTTTGTGTAAACTCTCAGTCGCACAGGGATTAGTCAAAGCAAAGGAAGGTTTCTCAACCATCATCTGTACTTCTGAGCAGAACTGAGCAGAAATAAACTACAAGCGACGTGAACTATGGTATTGTGAGGGTATAAATAATAGGGTTATACATTATTTCATACTGGAGTGATTAAAAAGTGAATTATTTTTGTTAATAAATAATTATATTGTGTTGTTTTCCATAGCGGATCCGTGGCCTATCTCAGCCAATTAGTTTGATACTTCATTGCTGTATAAAACTTGCATCAGTTTCCTAATTTTTCTCTTGACATTTGTAGATTATAGAATATGTGCAAGTAAGTTAGTGAGATAAGAGATAAGATAAGTAAGACTTTATTGATCTCACACTGGAGAAATTTACATATCACACTTGGCATAGATATAGGATCACTCAGATTGTGCAAAAAGACAAAAGTTTGCAAATATATCTGTCAAGGTTAAAAACATTTGCCAAAGTTTCACCATGTATTTGCCATGGTGAAACAATGTCAAATGCTGTCGCCTGATTGTATATTTATGATTGTATATTTGCACCTGCTTGTTTATACTGAAAGCACAAAAGGCAACATAACAATGTATACAACTTCTTCATAGATTAAGGAATGTAAATATTTTAAATACTTATGAATGTGTAATTTCAGCTTGAATTAATACAAAAATCAATCCATTAATCTTATGTAATATTCACATTTGAGAAAATATCAAAAGCGTAGACCTTGAGAATAAGTATAAAGGTGTGTAGTTAATTCAAAAGTATTATCCCCGATGTCCACCCAGCGTACTGTAGGAGTACACACATTTGATTTGATTACGTTCAATTTGCCTGGCACTCTTTTTTCCCGTCTTCAGCCTGGATACGCAACTGTGACACATACAAAAAAGAATCCATCCTCTTCACAGCAGTGTGTAAAATAGTTATGCTTGTTATGCAGCTGCTCTGTGTGTATTTCACTGCTGTTGTTAATTGTCAGACACATTACACTGAAAATGTATTCTGGGACGTAGCCTGGGCCTCTATGTGTAGGTCCCGAAGACATGCTAATTGGGTAATATGTGGAACTACTTTTTTTTCCAAATATAGTGAGAAAAATGTATGTATGTTTCTTCATGTATGAGTGGTGAAACTGGATAATAACACAGTGTATCCCAGAAAGGACCAGAAAGAAACTACATATGACTGAAATTGCGTTGTGTGTGTGGACATTGTATTCCATTTTCCAACTTTTCTTCCAAATTCCTATCGCCGCACGCAGGAGAACCAGCCAGACAGTCATGTTTGCTGTTCCCCATTACATATTGGTTTCCTGGTGACCTTTGTGATCATGGCGTCTCTTGTCCTGCCCACAGCATTTATTGGATTGGCATTTGAAACATGTAACTATCTGTATTTGAAGATTCTCTGGTCGTAAGCACGTCCAAGACCAAACAAAGCCAAACATGCACAAGTAGCGAGACAAAAGCGCTTTCTCGCACGGTCTTTCGCCGCACACAGGGCTCCCTTATGCACCCATACACATACTGTAGTCACTGTTATGGTCCGTGCACAAATCACTGATTATCCTTGTGGGGTCCTTATGTAAGAAGATTTACGCAACCAGTGTCTCAGCCCTTCTTTTGTGTTGCCTTTGGTTGAATCCATGAGAACTGCAGCGCCATTGAAGATGTTTAAAGACCGAAAGAACCAACACCTGATCCCACTTCAGCCCACTTGACCTAGGTCTGCCGTTAGCGCAGATTTGATTTGTAGGGACAAGGAGACACTTTATCGCCTTTTGCCTCGGTCTTTTGAAGATGTGTATAGAGAGTTCTATTATGTCAAGGTCGAGCCAGAAAAAAATATTAAAGTAATGTTCATGTTCTCGGCTTTCTTAATAAAAGAGCAGAGAAACCGTGAATGGCAGTCGCCGCCATATTCTGACACAAGTACCATATGATTTAGGAACATTTGGTCACATATTCTCAGCAGAAAGGATTTGCAACATTAATTCTGATTGACTCATGAACGGCCATTGTGTTTTTGTCCTTTCTCTCTGCATTAATTGTCTAATATAATAATTAAGTTACAAAACAATTTAAAACCTTTTCTCTTTCCAACAATAGATAATTATTCTTAAATACTTATAATTATGCGTTTCAACTGTTGTCATTTCGGCTTTACAATTACCAAAAGGGCTTTTAGCAGAACTCATAAGTGACTTTCAACCCCAATATCACCACATGGGTTACCTTTTGTTCAGCATTGTATCCGTTTTCTTGATGTTGCCTTAGAATAGAAATAAAAAATCCATTAGGGCCAGTGTTGCATAAGTAATGTAATGACTGTAATATATTGCTTTTTACTGTAACACGGTGATGCAAGGTATTAAAAAAACAGGGTATATTTTACTTGATACAAAGGTCAGTAATATGTGTCACATAACATTTTAACCCAAAAATAAATTGTGTTTTGTTTTTTTATATTACGGCACCGCAAGATCAACAGAGGAGAAAAAATCTGTGCCAATAGTCGCCCCGAGAAGCCTCCTGAAGCCTCCTGAAGCTGAAGCAGAAACAAGCACTACACCGGACAATACTACATTATCAAGATGGGCAAACTGACATTATTTAGAGTTTGTTTGGAGACAAAGATGTGCAGAACAGTTAAGTGACTTCATGTTCAAAACCAAAAGCTCCATCAACCTAAGGCAAAAACATAATAAGCTACATTTAGTATGAGTATATATATATTTGGTGAAAGTAACTTAGAAGTGAAATGTTTTATCCAGAGACAGTACTATTGTAGCGTAACACATTACTTTGAAACAACAGAAACAAGTCTTACATCCATCCATCCATTTTCTTCCCCTTAATCCATTTCTGGGTCGGGGGGGTGGCACCCAGTACACTTAGCACCAGCCCCTCACTGATCCTCCTGCAGGTGGTGAGTCCACAGGAGCTGAGATCTTTCAGTGGGGGCTTCAGGCAAAGTGGGGTTAAGTATCTTGCCCAAGGACACAACGACAGCAGACATCAGTGGGAGTCGTGAAGTAGGACTTATGGTGGGCTCGAACCCACGACCTTCAGGCCCAAAGGCCAATGCTCTACCAACTGAGCCACTGTCGCCCAAGTCCTACATAATAATATAAACACTGATGGGGCCTGTTTATTTCCATTGCAGCTGAATTGCAAAAGACATATTTCAAATATCACTTTATACATAAAGCCACATGTCTGAGGATGAAGACAGCCCAAGATTCCAGAATTTACGCGCTTCCAGATCTACCTCAATCATTGATATTCTTCCCCCATTGGGAGCACTGAATCGCCTTCAGCTAACCCGAACACTTGTCTGAATAGCAAACCAGCATTTTTAGATGTTGTCGGCCGTTGTTATTCACCAGCTCCCGAGTTGAAAATGGCTTTGTTGTCACCTTCACAAAAGGATCAAAGTGAAGCCAACACAAGCAAGGGTATAAATACATGCAGCTGGACCCATTGGACATGCCCTTTGAGTAACAGCTTTAGAGAGAATCCACAGTGCAAGAAAGACGCTAGCAATGCAATACTATGTAAATGTATTTGTTTTCTGCCACACTTGCCACACAGGAATAACTTGTGTTTTGAGTTATTTAATATTAATGAGAAAACTCTGAGGGAGTCACTATTTGAGGCTTTGGGTTGAGAGCTGATTGGCTGAGTGAGAGTGGTCCTTTCTTTTTCATTTTTCTGCCTTAAAAAGCTGAGCCAAAGGAGAAAAAAAACATATGCACATGAAAACTACTGATAACACCAAACTGTTTTGAGGGTGAGTATTGGGTGGATTTGTTTTTACATAGTTTAAAGTTAGGTATCCCAGCTTTAAAGTGTGGGGTTTAAAGCAGGATTTGACAGTGTAGATCAGAGGTCGGGAACTGTTTTAGCGGAGAGAGCTTAAGTCTCATATTTTAAAATGTATTTCTGTGCTGTGGCTGCAGTCACTAGTAGCTTTAGGCTAATTTATTATTTGGAATTATTTTTTTTTTCATGATACATTTTTATACCAATACATAAAACGTAGGTTCCTTATCTCTGGTGTCATGTCTCACTCGATCTTACTTTTTTTCCCCAAATATTATCACTAATACTTTGGACTCAGAAATGGTCAAAGCGGAAGAATGTGGATGATGGTTACTACGTGTATTCTGATACTTGAAATATATTGTGTATCTTATTATGAAGCAAAACTGTGCCCTATGCCAAAGGTAATGGAGTTTACCGTCTTTTTTTTAACCCACTTGAACCTCTGCTACTTTCATGTTGCGTCTGAACAACAGAACTGTTTAAAACCAGTTTCTTGAGAAAATGGATTGGGCCACAGTTGAAACATGTTTTTGTTTGGAAACCAGACGTTTTCATCAAACTAGCACACACACGTTTGGGCGTAACCAGAATGTGTTTCCTCCTTTTCCATGTCCTGAGCACCGCTGGCCCGGCCTCCTCCTCCTCCTCAGCCTCCTCACCCTCATCAGCCTCCCCAGCCTCCTCACCCTCCTCAGCCTCCTCAGCCTCCTCAGCCTCCTCACCCTCCTCACCCTCCTCACCCTCCTCAGCCTCCTCACCCTCCTCAGCCTCCTCAGCCTCCTCAGCCTCCTCACCCTCCTCACCCTCCTCAGCCTCCTCAGCCTCCTCACCCTCCTCACCCTCCTCACCCTCCTCACCCTCCTCAGCCTCCTCACCCTCCTCACCCTCCTCACCCTCCTCAGCCTCCTCAGCCTCCTCACCCTCCTCAGCCTCCTCACCCTCCTCAGCCTCCTCAGCCTCCTCACCCTCCTCACCCTCCTCAGCCTCCTCACCCTCCTCAGCCTCCTCAGCCTCCTCACCCTCCTCACCCTCCTCAGCCTCCTCAGCCTCCTCACCCTCCTCAGCCTCCTCACCCTCACCAGCCTCCTCCATATTTGGCATGTTGTTATTTTTGGCCCACACCAAATCCTCCCTCCGTTTTTTTCTTGGAAGCGAGGCTGGGTCATGTTTGTACTTGTTAGTTGTGGGGAACCGGCTGTGAGTGTGTGCCAAAATGTGACTGCAGGTAATTTCTCATGCAAGCTTGTACCTCATCTTGACAACTCGAGTCATTCTGTCACCCTGGCGTCGGCCTTCCTCAATCTCGCTCTCAGCAAAATAACATCTTGTTTTAGCTGCTGGGAGTTTGAATAAAAACACTTTTTTTCGTTGGCTTTGCGCATAATGAGATGGAGAAATTATAGGCCAGTTCTCCAATTGGATGAGAGGCATCTTCGCTTTCGTTCGTTCGACTGATTCAAGGCAGAAAATTCTACAGTGTTGAGCCACAATCTCAACTAATAATTATGAAGCCTTCTGCCGCACTTGTTACTTTATCAGCAATAAAAGCGATTTCCTCTTCTTTTTTTGAATTTACTTTTATTGTATATAGTATTCCAAGACTGTAGTCGAGCACATACATTGAACAAACTGATAAGTCTAGACCAAGGTGTGACCCATTCTCTATATATTATTACATATCTGATCCAGGGACGTGCGGTGAGGTTTGTGATTGGGGAGGCACTGACTTTAAAAGTCAGATTTACAATCATTATTCAAATAAAATAGCATTTAATCACCAATGCAATGACATCCACAAACTTTATATACTGTAAAGATAAGAGAACCAGCTTCTTTTAATAATCTCACAACAAATCTAGCTGCTGACTCTGCTCCGCATCAAACAACATCTTTAAGAAGCGCAGGTGCGAGAGACGCGAGGAGAGAGAGACGCGAGGAGAGAGGAGCAGAGAGAGACAGAGAGGAGCAGAGAGACGGAGACGCGAGGAGCAGAGAGAGACGGAGACGCGAGGAGAGAGAGACGCGAGGAGAGAGAGACGCGAGGAACATAAACAATAATTTAAACAAGTTGCAGAACTCTTGAGCAGTGTTTGAATCAGTGTTTTTCGGAAAAGCACTACTTTGCCGGTATCTGTCAATGTTCAACATAAAACACAGATTAACAAACTCCTCCCCCGCAGCCGGACTAACCTCGTAAGTCCAGTGGTGGTCTCCCAGTCTATATTAATTCTTTCTTTGTTTGAAAGTCCAATTGAGAAAAAAAATCTTCATTCAAATCATCCATCTTCCAGCAAAAGAAATAGCATTTTGGGCTGATTGTTTGTTAGCAACTCTGGTATGAACTTTATGCTCACTATCACCCCTAGCGGTGAGGCACAGATACCGCCTGCCTCACGCCAAGCTTTTTCCTTGTGTGTTCATCTACGATCAAAAGACTTAAACTAAATATAAATTGTACACAGATACGTGCAATACACTACTAAACACTAAGAGGAGTTTAAAAAATGTTTTTAAAGCAGGATATTTGAAACAAACGGTGATATATCAACTGCACGAGCTGAGTGCACTCAGACACACACACACACACTGTGAGGGAGCGGTCTGGGGTGAGGCACGCAGGAGCGCTGCCTCACCTCGTCTCTTTGAATAGGAATAACGGGATTTCGGCGATTTTGACTTCAGAAATGATCAAAACTGATGGGAACCGTGCCGAATATACATTAAAAGCATAGGACAGTGGATATAAATTATATATTTAAACTAAAATAATTATTAGTTTCCAATAATGGCAGGTGAGGCTCTGCCTCCCCTGCCTCCCCTGACTGCACGTCCCTGATCTGATCCAAACTGTATATTGACATTTGACTATTTAGAATTAGCACAATGGAATGGAGTTTGTCTTGAAAATCTGTTTTTCTCCATGTATTCTCATTTTTGCAGGTTTGACAAATAAATTATTGTAATTTAAATAAAATAATGATTTAAATTCTACAAAATTTGGTCGATTAGCCAAGTAGTCGATGGTTGCTTAAACATTGACAGCCCTTTAATTATATTCATGTATAGACATTATATATTAGACATTGTCAAATCTTTTTTTTCAATTCCCTCCTCTGCTGTCACAAGTCTTAAGGGAACTGTACTTTATTTTTATTTATTTTTATTTCAAACCTGTGTACACAAATTTCACACAAAAACAAAAAACTTTTATAAGTAGACATTTTCAAATCAAGTATTGCTTTTCTGATAATAATTCCACGATGAAGACTCTAACCAATCACATGTGTGTCACGTGATGAAGTTAATGAAGACCCAAAATTGCAGAAATGCCAAAAATAAGGGTTTAATGATAAAAAAGTCCAGATGAAACCAACTCAAAATCCAAAACTTAAACAGGACCAGGAACAGGACGGAAACAGACAGAGACATGAACAAGACAGGACGTTGACAAGACAATGGACTAGCAACAAGGGGAGAGAAGCACATGGTACCTATAGACACAGACACAGGTGAAACACATCAGGGCGGGGCAGACAATCAAGACAGGGGCAAACAGGACAGGAAGTACAACTAAAACCAAACCACAGAGAACAATGTCAAAATAAAACAAAAATACAAAAATAAAACCCACACCATGACAATGTGTGCTTCATACAGAGGTCAACCCACTGCCAACAAAGGTTAAAAAAGATTAATTCCTTCATTCCTTGAACTATGAATTCAATGTCTTTCTGTAAATGTTAAAGCTTTAAGGAGCAGCATGTAAAAATCTGGCCAAAAGTGGGACTGCAACCTCTCCCACTCTCCCAGATTCAGCTGGGACCATATATTATGAATAGAGTTTTGTCAACAACAAATCTATAAAAAAAACACCTTTTTCGCAAAGATAGAAATCCTCGTTTTATTCCTTGTTTTGTCGTTAATGCTTTGAGAATCATAACAAGACCTTTTTTTGTTCTGTGGCCACATGGTACTTTACCAGTGAGATTAGCTCGACGCAGTGAGTTCTGGCGCCCGGATCAAAGACTTTCTGATTGGTGAAACGGTGGAGGGCGGGACATCAAAATGAAAACAATAACAAGATTTAGGGGCTGTAAAAATAATTTTGAAATTAGTATCGGTTAAAGAAGTATTGGAAAAGAGCAAAGGGCCATTTAATAATGACTTGACATGAAAATCTTACATATTTCTACTTTAAAGAAATGTTTTTGGTTATTTTAAGTATTATGTATTTGTTATTTCTATGAAAAGAGAAACATTTGCCTTCATTATGATTCTGTATTTATTTTTCCACATCGCTTTTCTGTCATAATATCACAACCCAAAGCCATAACTCCCTATGCGAAAACATTGCACACAAAATTTGCATTACGAATATCTTTAAATGTCACAGGAATAGACGAGATACGGAATAAATAACATGTCAATATTGATCAGGGATTCTTCCTTGTAGAGTGAAGCAATTTGTTATCCACTACCACCGACGGAAACGTAATAGTCTCTTCTCATTTTCCTCATGTGTGCTCAACATATCAGCGTTTCAATTTCCATATTCAAACCACAGCGGAGCTAACCTGCATCTGATTTACCACATCACTGTTAGCAACCTTTTCAGACAGAGGACATCCAGTTTGTTCTGGGCCTCATAACAAGGTACGGTGAAGTCATCATTCATGCTCATGTAGTGGAGCCAGAATTAATTGGAGTTTTGGCGGCTCCGGGGCCAGGAACATGCTGCAAACAAACCGGCATTAAGGCCTGATGGAGCCACAAACACTGGACCAAAGCGACATCTATTTGGACACATTTTTCAAACCATCTGCTTGTTGTAAAGCCATTTTTCAAATACGTATCTATCTATCTATCTATCCAATATGTGTATTTCTATCGCTCAAGTAATATTTTTTCAGAGGTACAGAACCGAGATTGAGTTTATGAGGGCCCAGGTGATGTCTCAGAACATAAGAAATACTAAAACGAGCATGTTTCGGTTTTAAACTCATCTTCTTTGAACTAAAATTCACAGTAATTAAACATTTAGCACAGGGCTGCATGTTTTTCACTGCAAAAAGTGATGAAAAATAGTGCTCAAATTTGGCAAAATGTATCTTAATTTGAGTACATTGTGACTGCTAATGGAACAATGCAAATGGATCTTAAAAAGATGCAAGATTTAAGAAAAAAAAAAACACCAAGTCTTGAAATAAGACAGTCAGAATGTACTCAAATTAAGATAAAAAACATTTAATTTAAGCATTTATTACCTCATACCAAATTCCTTTTTGGATGAATGTACTGATAAAATAAACAGCTCTATATCCTCACCACAGCACTGGATTCAGAGGTTTTGTCCCAGAGACTAATTCATCTGAGTGTGTTTGAGAGAAATGCAGTTGAACTCCTCTGATTAGGCAACACTTTCAGAACCACACACACACACAGTCCAGCTATAAGAGCACACACGCCCAAACACAAGCGCGGTTCGTTCTCTGGTGTCCCCGTCCTCCGGATCTCAAATCTGGGACCAGAGAACACAGGTCTATATATCTAAATATCCCCAAGCCCGGTCCAGATCAGTAGATCAGTAGCATCTCATCCCTGCAGCTCATCCTCCGTGCGCTGAAGTTTAGGTTCTGGTTCCGTCATGCTTTTCGCCCGGTTGTGAAGTGAACAAAACCTCCTCCAACTTTACAAATGTAGTGCGTGGGCCGTAGTTCAGTAGACATCTGGTTCCCACACACTGTAGCGTCATTGTTGAGCGTCAGCGGTGCACACTTCACACGCGTTTCAATCAAAGAACCATAATGCATTTACACCACACACACCACTGTATTCACAACTGTTGCTCCACGCAGCCTTGACTGTGCGTCCTTGACAGTATCAGCACCTCACCCACAGTAATGGGAGAAGCAGAGTAAAAAGGGTGGGTGGTATTGTTGTATGTATAGATATGAATCATAGACATTCTTCTACATGCATACACAATACAATAACCTGCCAAATTTTCTTTTCTGATTTCTACTGCTGCATCATCCTGCTTCATTGGCCAATCACAGCACTTATTAGAGTCCAAAAACTATCTCTTTGACTGCCAGTTTTTGATG